TGTCAGTGTTTTAGGCTCGTAAGCGAGACGAGAGAGCCCAAACCTCGAAGAGGATCCAACATTTAAAATTGGAGAGAGAGAGAGAGAGAGAAAGAGAGAGAGAGGGAGAATGTGAACCCATTTCACCTTGAAGCTCTTGCACAAATGTTTTAGTAGAACTTATGTAAAATCTGAACTTGATGAAAATGAAAAACTCTTCCAAAAGAGAATTAAATGTGTGGTTTTAGTTTCTGAACTTTTAAACGTTGAAATAGTCAGGGACAGGGATCCTTATTTCTCAAAAGTCAAAAGCTGAATGAAATCATCCAGTTTTGCATTTCATTTCAATGAAGCATTAAGTACTCATCTTCGCACCTACTTGTTTTTTTTTTTTTTTTTAACACAGGCATATATATATTTTTTTAGTATTAACCTTATGATATCCAATAATCACATTAGATTATAATTAATTTGAAATCGAGTCGCGTCGAGTGCCATTAGATGGAACTCTCTCAGTGTCTGTTTTTCGTTTACAAAATTCGAACTCAAAATTTTGTTTAAGGGAAATCAAGTTTTTTTCATTCGAACCAATAAATCATTGCTACATGCATATATATTGTAGATTGCATTAAATTAGCACAATGTATAAATTAATATCTGAACTGAATAATGATGAACAAATTATAAAAACAAAAAATATATTGGACAATTCCCCCAAAAAGACGGGACTAAGACCCGTAACCCTTAAATTTTGAGATTTCAGTGTTTATCACTAGGCCAAAGACCTCATTGGCATTATACTCATTTGTTGACAGAGTGGTTTGGGATATTAAGTGAAGTCATCAATGAACCGTAACCGTAACTCAGATTGAGAAAACACACAGTTGGTAACAGCATTTAAATGAAGCCAAATTAAGCGATTTTCTGGCTGAAATTTCACCACTGGCATTACGAAACCCTCATTAAATGCATGTCTTTTGGGCCACACCATGTATCCAAATAAGAACCCTAACTTCACCGAGGACAGGGCATCCAATAATTATAATAACTACTAACCACTTGGGAATTGAAAGAGTAAATGCAGTACAGTTGGGAGAGGTAGATAATAAAAGCCTGTCATTTTGCCATTCAATTTCAAACCCAGAATTCTGTCGCATTTAGCCTTCCCGGTAAGGCATTTCCTCCCATCTTTAGCGGTTCGAAACGAAGAACTCCCCCATGTGGCCACGCGCCTCCACGAGAAGCAGGTGGAATTCACCTTCGAATCTACCGTTAACCTGAATAATTCAGATACTTCTGATCAATATTTCCTTTGTTAAAAAAAAAAAAAAAAAAAAAAAACGAAAGTACTAGACAAGCTTGGATTGGACTTTGGAGCACTCTTGGCTTGGGTACGGGAAAACATTAACATATCCAGCCCAAGATGTAAAAGACTGGGCCTCAGTTGCAAGACTGAAAGTCTTAAACTTTACGAATATTGGGTTTGTAAATGTTACTTCATGAATTATGACCCATATTTATTGGGCGTGGGTCCAAATTAAAGGTTTCAAACTTCCGGCCCAAGTGAGACACAGGGTTCATTCTCTTTTTATTAATTAATAATAATTAAAAGAAGATTGAGATCATCATCCTATTTACTGGAGTATAATATTTCATTTTTAATGACACAAATGGCGGTTGAGACTAGGGATGGCAATTATCCTCGTTTTTTGCAAGATTCTGCGAGAGTCCCTGCCACGGGGATGGAGCGAGGAGAAATATTTCTTCTTGCGAGACGGGGATGTGGATTATTTTCTCCCCGTAAAATTTCATGGGAAATTTTTCCCGTCCCACGCGGTCGATCTCCATCCCAAAAAAAAAAAAAGTTTTTATTTTAAAATTAATTTATTCTTTAAATCCAAACCCAAACCTAAACCCAAACCCAAACTCAATCTAATTACAATTAAACTTAACCTAATACTATCCAACCCAACCCAACCCATTCCCCTACATTTAACTCTAACCCTAATTTATTTTAATTCTCATCACTCAATCTCACATCTCTTTGATTGCAGCTTCACACATATCTCATGTCCATCTCACCTTTAGTTTCCTCTGTTGTTGCTGCTGCTGCCACCGAAGCTATCTGCTGTTACTGTCGGACCGTATGCTGCTGCTGCCGCTGAACAGCCAAAGCCATCTACTCTGCTGCTGCTGTCGGGTACCGGCTGCCACCATCGGGCCCATCTGCTGCTGTCGCTAAACAGCCAAAGCCATATGCTCTGCTATTGCTGTTGTCGGACCCATCTACTGTTGCTATCGGACCCATTTGTTGCTATCACCACCGAAGCCATCTGTTGCTGCTGCTGTTATTGCCACCGGAGCCATCTGCTGCTGCTGCTGCTGCTGTCGCTGAATAGCCTAAGCCACTTGCTTTGCTATTGCTACCGGAGTTATTTGATGTTAATTCGTGGGGAATGGGGATTCTCGTGGGGATCCCTATTTCCCGTGGGAAACAGGGATGTGAGGTAAAATTTGCCCCCCGTCAAAAATTCCCGCAAGGATCCCCGTCCCTGTGATTCACAGGGACGAGGATAGGGAAGGGATCCCCAGCCCCGCAGGGCCCTATTGATATCCTTAATTGAGACTCGAGATCCACTAATTACATATTTTAAGACAAAAATACTAATTACTTAACACATATTTTTGACATCATTTTCCTACGATGCTGTAGGTGGATATATCAAAATTCAAATATCAACATTCTCGCGTTGACAGGGTTTAATTCTACAAC